CAATTACTAAGATGACATTGTCACACGTACATATACACAAACACACACACACACAAACACCTACACACACACACACACAAACAAACAGTTAAACACTAATACTAGTTAAAAACGTACACAAGAACATAAACACACACACACACACAAAACATACACACACACGGACACAAAACAGTTAAACTCTAACACAAGTTAAATACGTACTAAAGAACATAAATACACAACACACACACAAATACCTACACACATACATACACATACAGGCACACACACACACAAACAAACAGTCAAACACTAACACTAGTTAAATGCGTACACAAGAACATAGATACACACACACACAAAACATACACACACACACAAACAAACAGTTAAACACTAACACAAGTTAAATACATACAAAAGAACATAAATACACAACACACACACAAATACCTACACACATACACGCACACACACACACCGACACAAACAAACAGTTAAAAACTAACACAAGTTAAATACGTACACAAGAACATAGATACACACACACACGCACACGCACACAAACACACACACAAACTTGAGAAGAGCAGTAGATTAGAAACAGTACTTTGGCTGTTGTGGTTGATGAAAATGCAGTCCTGACAGGTTGAACTCTGACCCCTGGTTAATATAGCCACTATTATTATTATTATTATTATTATTATTATTATTATTATTATCATCATCATTACCGTAATCTATAACATCATCGGCATATTCATCATCAACATAATCATCAACAAAAACAACATCAACTTCATCAACATTATCAAGAACATCAACAACAACAACAACAAAAATATCATCATCATCAGCAACAACAACATCATCACCATCTAAAAGATCATCATCATCATTAATATCAACACCACCATAATCAGCGACACCACAACCATCATCAACAACAACATCATCATCATCACCATCATCGTCATCGTCGGCATTACCACTTGGCGGATCTTGTATCATTAGCGATGTTCACCCACGTGTAACCCCTGTTTCTCGAAAGGTGGAGACTCTGGTAATGATGACGATGATGATGATGATGATGGTAATGATCATCATCAGCCACAACCACAACCGAACACTAACATCGTAAGAATCATGATGACGTTGACGCAGCCACAGCAACCACAACAATCACCACAACCACCACACCAACAACAACCACAATCACCACAACAACACTAACATCAAAGGAATCATGAAGACGATGATGTGGATATTGGCAGTAACAACAACAACAGCAAAAAGAACATCCACGACAGCCACACACAACCACAACAGCCACACACAACCACGACAGCCACCACAACCACGACAGCCACACAGAACCACGACAGCCACACAGAACCACGACAGCCACCACAACCACGACAGCCACACAGAACCACGACAGCCACCACAATCACGACAGCCACACACAACCACGACAGCCACACACAACCACAACAGCCACACACAACCACAACAGCCACACACAATCACAACAGCCACACAGCAACCACAACAGTCACACACAACCACAACAGCCACACACAACCAAACACTAACATCGTAGGAATCCAAAAATAGGATTAGATCGACTTTGGTTGGATGGAAGATTAGGTCAGTGGATTGTGTGACGGTGAAATTGAGTGTGCTGACAGCATGGAATGTCTGGCCACTGTCATTTGAGATGTGCAGGTCTGTATCCAGATTCCCATTGTATTTCAGGATCGTTACGTATATCTGTTTGTTTGTTTGTTTGTATGTTTGTTTGTATGTTTGTTTATATGTTTGTTTGTATGTTTGTTTGTTTGTTTGTTTGAATGTGTTTGTATTGCTTGTTTGAATGTGTTTGTATGTTTGTTTGTTCGTACGTTTGTTCGTATGTCTGTTTGAATGTGTTTGTATGTTTGTATTGTTTGTTAGTTTGTATGTTTGTTTGTATGTGTATGTTTGTTTGAATGTGTTTGTATGTTTGTATTGTTTATTTGTTTGTATGTTTGTTTGTATGAGTTTGTTTGTATGTTTGTTTGAATGTGCTTGTATGTTTGTAATGTTGTTTGTCTATATATTCATTCATCCAATGTTCTAAATTTCAACCAAACAACCAGCTGACCAACCAACAATCAACCAACCAACCAAACAATCAATTAGCCAACCAACCAACCAACCAACCAACCAACCAACCAACCAACCAACCAACCAATCAACCAACCATCTTTGGATCAAGGGGATGTTTGTGAAGGTGTAGCCGAGCCTCTGAGTTACTCATATTGGCATGTATTAGATCTGTTATGTTCCTCTTGTTCTTGAAATCATCTTTTGTATCCCTAGGGTTTTGTGTTGAGAGTTGTTTGATTGAATGGCGCCAATTGGTCAACTACCGACTGGCTGATTGGTTGATTGATTGATTGTTTGATTGGTTAATTGATCGGTTTATTGATTGATTGATTGACAGATTAGTTGATTGATTGATTGACTGATTGATTGGCGTAAGGTTATCTGTTATATATCTACTTAATTCTCAAAACCACATGTATAAATATATGTATATATATATATATATATATATATATATATATATATATATACATATACAAACATTTCATATATATATATATATATTTGTGTGTGTGTGTGTGTGTGTGTGTGTGTGTGCTATTAATAGAGGCACACAAATATGCATTATCGACTTGAGGTGTGCTATACAGTTGGTATTGATGTATCTGACTGTATGTTAATCAGAAACAGGGAAGAAAGTGAAAGTAGAAATGTGAAACACACACACACACACATAGACACACACACACATACAAACACACACACACATACAAACACACACATACACACATGCGTACGTACACACACACGCACACACACATACATAAGAAAACAAACCTGAGCATATGCAAACACAGCTTCATGTACAATCATACATACATACATACATACATACATACATACATACATACATATATACATAACTAACCATATATAGAGCCCAGATTCTCTATCACTAGCTGTTAGCAGTACAACTTGCTGGAAATATAAATTTAATTTTATTGATGACGATGATGATGATGATGATGATGATGGTTATAATTATAAACATTTTTTTACATTTTTTTTTGACCCAATCTGACCATACCCACTGTAACTTCTTAGAAATCACTATCATCATCTACTATTGACTTTCAGACACTATTATCAGCACTTGTTTCTGTGTATGTGTGTGCATACACACATACATATACAAACAAACATACATACATACATATATACATACGTACATATACAAACAAACAAACATACACATACATACATACATACATTTACAAACAAATAAACATACATACATACATACATACATACATGCATATACAAACAAACAAAAAAACAAACATACATACGTACATACATATACAAACAAACATAAATACATACACATACAAACATACATACACACGTACATATACAAACAAACAAACATACATACATACATATACAAACATACATACATACATACATATACAAACAAACAAACAAACAAACATACGTACATACATATACAAACATACATACATACGTACATATACAAACAAACAAACATACATACATATACAAACAAACAAACATACATCATAATTTTCTCCTGTCCAGGCAATCTCCAAGACAGAGGATTTAGATGAGTTTATGTGGTACTTGAAAAAAAAAAGTAAATAAATAAAATATACAATGAAATATTCATATTTATTTAAATCAAATCAATCAATCAATCTTCGTTTTGTGTCCAGAGACCCGGGTTCCCCGAGGTAGGACGTTTTATTTATTTTATTTTTTTTTTTTTTTATTTTTTTTATTTAAATTAAATAAATTAACTATACACATAAACACACACACATGTTAATTTTTTTGCTGAATAAACTCATTATTGAATTGAATGTTTATGTAACTATTTTCAATACACATTCAACGAAATATGAAGCATTTTTCTACAACATAGTATGAACCTAATGTTTGTTTATGTGTATGTTTGTATATGTGCGTGTGATTGTTTGTATATGTGTGTGTGTGTATGTTTGTATATGTGTGTGTGTATGTTTTTATATGTGTGTGTGTATGTTTGTATATGAGCATGTGTATGTTTGTATATGTGTGTGTATGTTTGCATGACAACATCGCTAACCTCCTGGCCAAAGATATTTGAAACATCGGCCCCAGAACTATTTAGAAAAGAAGCAAACTTGCCAGTCGTCAGAGTGCACAACTCTGAAATTAAAAAATTAATTTAAAACAATTAAATTAAAATTAATTAACTAAAAATAATTAACTTGGCAAATGTCACTTTCTTGACTACAATAAATTTTACACAATAAATAAAAATAACACAACCGTAATTATACACTATACTACAACAGAGTTGTTGGATAATAATTATTATTATGATGATGATCAGATGATGATGATGATGATCTAATGATGATGATGATGATGTGATGATGGTGGTCTTATTTTATAAAATTTCATATACAAGCAACAGATACATTGCTGAATAAATCCCAACTTCCCAGGCCTGTTTATTATAGAATGAACTTTAATAATGTAATAAATTTTTAGTGAAATTAATAATAAATTAATAATTAATGACAAATAAATCATATTATACTGAGTATTAATGTCATGATATTTGATTTTTAAAAGCTGAGAATTAAGGAACGAAAAATTGGTCTTGAAGATCAAATTATTAAAAATTAAAGATTTAACTATTGTGAATTTCCAATGAATTGAAGAAAATAAAATTTTTTAAATATAATAAATAATTAAATAATAATAATAAAATTATTTATAAGCGAAAGTTGAAAATTAAATGACAAAAAGAAATTATTTAATAATCTAAAATTCTGAGACACTAAGATTTTTATTTAAGTAATTATTTTGTTATTGCATTCATTTCAATTTTTAATAGAATATCGAATATATCATTATAAAATTATATTAAAATCAAATTATATTAAGAAAATAATTTCTTCAAAAAATTCAAGATGAATCAGCAGATCAGGAAGATTTTTTTCTAAAAACCCAACAAACAAGATTCTAAATTTCTAACTAAATTATACAAAAACTAACGATTGTGCCCATTTATTCCGAATAATTGTTGACAGGTCTTCGGACGGCTGAAATAAATAATTAGGACACAAAAATGGATTAAAATAAATGACTTTAGATCCATTTTTTAGTCGCAGAAAAAAAAAATGTTTTTAAACACTAAAAGGTGTGCAGTCTTCAACACCTTGGTCATATGATGGATGAAAAATTACGTATTTATCCGAATTATTTAGTTTTTTTTTTAAATTTTTTATTTAAATTTCATTTAAAATTTCATCATTTATTAATTATTTTATTAAAATAGTTAATATAAATTAGTGGAGATATTAAATAGTTATTTGACGCAGCGAAAATGTACGTAGCCTATTCATGTGTAAATATCATGTGCTTATTTTAAAGTACTATTTCTGCGTTTTCGTATGAGTTATAGTTCAATTTCTATTATAAAATACTAATTTGTACATTCCATGAACATTATTGTAAATGAATTGAATTGTAAATAGACTTTTTAATGTTATTTGCAAGTTTGATGTCCATATGTAGAGGATGGATAAGTGTTCATTAAATTTAAAATCCTAACGTTCATTTAAATAACATCTCGTTCTAACTTCGCTTACGTTTCGGCAATCTCTCTCTGTCTTATCCTTTATATTATTTTATTTTACGTCTGTTTTGGGTTTTTTTATGATTTTCACTTGAAATTTTATAACATTTTAACTCTAATTGTTTGTTTTTAAAGTTTGATGAATGATTTATGACATTTCAAAAACAGGAATTGATCTGCACTGATTATTTCAATTTCAGTACCCTGGCTGCTGTTATAGTTGCCCATCTCTAATAGTCTAATCTAATTGAACAAAAGTTTTAAAAATAAAAACAAATGCCCGCAGATGCTCAGACGATATTTTAGGTCAATGGGGGGTTGCATTGGATTCCACAACAGAGGACAGAGAGGCAGTGATGCATCAGATGATAATGTTCACGGTGAGATTTATTTAGTTTTTCATTTTAATTTTTGTAACATTGAAAGTTTTTATTAATTAATTATTGATATAAAATAAATGTTAACAAATTGATGTGGAAAAAATAATTCAGAATTAGTTTTGGCATCTGAATTTTGAGCTGCATAACATTTTCGTCTCAGTTTTTAATTAAAATTTAATTAAATAAATAAAATATTTATTATTTTCGTTTTATATTGCTTAATAAAGAGTTTTCACTGCGTTGATTTTCCATCCATAATATTTATGCATAGATTTGTCGACAGTTTCGCACAACAGGCCATTGAAACACAGGAAGCCCAAATGGAAGAGCAACATCCGCTTGACTGAGGCTCAGCTGCAAGCAAAACGAGAAGAGTTTTGGGACACGGCACCTGCCTTTGAGGGGCGCAGAGAAATCTGGGACGCCTTGAAGGCATCTGTTGCTGCTCTTGAGGCTGGGGATTTTCAGATGGCTCAAGTCATACTCGATGGGGCCAACATCTCTCTACCGAACGGTCGGTTTTTATATTGCTTTGTAGATTTAATGCTTTTTTTGTCAAATTCAAACAAATTGTCTTTTACATGATGTTTCAGGGACCCTGATGGATTGCTACGATGAGTTAGGCAACAGGTATCAACTGCCCGTTTACATCCTAAGTGCCCCGATCAACCTGATAAAGAAGGATGAAGAGAAGCTGGAGGGCGGAGCATGTGGGGAAGATGATGAGAACAGCAGCGCCTGTGGGGCTGCCTCAGTGTCGCACAAAAAACACTGCATCGAAACTTGCAACAAAAGGTCCTCAGTTAAAAAGGAGCACCTGGAACCAACAGGCAAGGAGATGACCATTCGAATTCGTTTTGCCACAGGTGAGGACCAGAGGCTGGCCGTCAACTCTAACGATACAGTTGCCGCCGTTAAAATGGCACTTGCTCGTTCGAGACCCGACATCAATCCAACTTGCATTCGATTCTTCTTCTCTGGGAAGCAGCTGAACAACAAACTCACCCTCACGAAGGCTAAAATTGAGTCAAATTATACCATTCAAGCAACTGTTTCTGAGCCTAGTCCATCACTCGCTTCTGAAAAAGGTGCCGAGTTGTCATCTAAGAAGTCATCCAAGAAGTCTGGCAAAGCTGTAAGTAGTATCACGCATGTTAACGTTGCTCCGGCTAATTTAAGAGTCACTAACACAGACTGCATTAACACTGCTGTGGCATCAACAGCAGCAGCAGTTGACGTCAACATTAACAATCTCACAAACACCAGCACTGACATCCATAATGTAAATAACATTGAAGACACATTGGTGGTCAATGAATGTGATAAAACCGATGTGAACTTGTCGAAACAATCACAGCAGCCGAAGATCTTCTACAGCAACTTGACCTCTGGCACCTCACAGCAGCAGCAGCAAGAAACATGCCCAGTTTTTACGTACAACCATGACAAACAAAACACTCAACTACAACAACAACGATTTAGGTGCAACAACAACAACATAATCCATAATGTCTCACCTTCAGATTATAGCGTTCAACAGCATTACAGCAGCAACAGCAACAACAACAACACCCCACAGCAACAAAACGTTCAACAACAACAACAACAACAAAGTTACTACTCTCAACAACAATCATTTAATTACAACCTTCCAACACAACATCAACAACAACATCATCTGTTACTAGGCCAGTCGACAAATTTTGAGCAGAATTCTGAAAATTAATCTCTCTCCGTCTATACAAAAAATGAACACCAAAGAAGCCACACAGCATTTAGTCAGATGATTTCTATATTACTATTTTTATTATTAAATATTATTATTATTAAATATTAATATAATTATTAATATTATTATCCATATTATTGTCACTAACTTGTAAAGTTGTAATTAAGTCGGTGACCTAGTTTACAATTTGGACTCTACCATCAATACGAATACAAGAGTATGTACATGTTTATCTACTGTCATGTGATAACATATGATAGGGTGTTATAATAAGAATATAATATAATAATTATAGTAATAATATAATAAATATAGTAATAATATAATATAATAATTATAGTAATAATAATTATAATGTGGTGATGATGGTGATTCGAAACTGGCACAGCAGTTAAGATGCGTATAGTGTATAAACTGTTAGTTAAATAATAATATAATAATTATAGTAATAATTTAATATAATAATTATAGTAATATCTCAATATAATAATTATAGTTATATTATAACAATAATTATGGTAGTAATATAATAATAATTATAGTAGTAATAATATAATATAATAATTATAGTAGTAATAATATAATATAATAATTATAGTAATAATAATTTTAACATGGTGATGATGGTGATTCAAAACTAACAAAGCAGCCATAGTTATGGTGTATAAACTGTAAATTACTTTCATGTGATCTTACTAATGTAATTTTTATTGTTATTAAGGTTATATTATTATTATTTATTTATTATAATTATTTTATTATTATTTTATTCCTTTATTATGCACTAACTTGAATCTTTCTATCAACGATGTAGAAAATAAATCTTAAGTACATCTTACACTTGTGTAATATTATAGCCAAGTGTTTTTATTATTATTTTTATTATTAATTATTATTTTTTATTATTATTATTATTAATTATTTTTTTATTATTTTTACTATTGTAATAATTATAACCCCCTAAAGCATTACAGTTGGGATGTTTTGTGTGTCTGTTGTTGGTATCTTCGTTTTGTTTGTTTGTGTTTTAGTATCAGGTGTTTTGTACATATGTATCTTAAAGTGTCTGTTGTTTGTATTTTCGTTGTGTATGTTTGTATCTTAGTATCAGGTGTTTTGTATATTTGTATCTTGGGTATCTGTTGTTTGTATCACGAATTTTTGCATCATGATCATTTTTATGTGATATCTTGTATATCTGGGGTTTTGTATATCTGGTTTTATCTATCTATATTTATATCTTGAATTTTTTTGTCTGTTTGCTTGTTTGTTTGCTTCGTTTAGCTTAAATGTTTGTATCTTTTGTTTTGTATGTTATTATGTATTTTTGTTGTTGTTGTATATGCATTAAGTCTTCTCTAGCTACGTATCTATATTTAACAGTATCTCTATCTAGTATCTTTGATATCTGAATATGATAACTTGAACGCTTGCATATTTGTATATGGTATCGTGTGTATCTGATATCATGGGTCTCTGGTATCATGTGTATCCGGTATCATATGTATCTGGTATCATGTTTATTTTTGTAAGTGACATTTATTATCATGTATCATCGTCATCTGATATCCGATATCTAAATTGGTGTCTGGGTGAATATAGTATCTTGAATGTGTGTATCTGGAATATTTGTATCCTGTATCCTGTATATCTGTTTGTATCTGTTCTTTTCTTTTCATTTCTGTACCCGCATTGTTTGATTTATAGTTTTATGGTGTAAAATTCGATCACTTATTGTTGAAAACGCTAATATACAACATGTCCTATCTGAGTCAAGTTATGTAAGCAGCTTCTGTCATATTCTACATACATTTCTAAAATGATAAACAGTATTTTAATTAAGTTTTATAACTCATTAACTAATTATTATCAACTAACTAATCAATCAATTAATTATTTAATTAATGTGGATTTTATTATTACAGTTGCATCGCATTGGGGTTTGTTTATTTTTCTTAAATGCCTCTTATTTGCATTCATATCCTGATTTATTGACGATGTGATGGTATGGTATATATGCTTGTTTGTATGTATATATATGTGTGTGTGTGTGTTTGTTTGTTTGTATTTATATGTAAGTATGTGTGTGTTTGTGTGCATGAGCGTGTTATACATGCGTATATATGTAAAGAAATTAATTAATTTGGCAACAAAAAACAAAAATCCAGGCTATGTCATATTTAGGCTAACAATTTTTTTGGGCAGTTTGACAACATCAGACAAATTAGATATTGAAAGGTTAGTGTCTTGAGTGGAGTAATATAACTTCTTAATTTTTTTTGGACTGTGTTTGTGTGTGTGTGTGTGCGCGCGCGTGCGTGTGTGTGTGTGTCTGTGAGTAAAACATTTTGACTTTGCTACTTTTTAAATATCATTTTTGAAAAAAAAAATCCATGCTGATTGGCCAGATGTGTTATTTATCTTCATCATTCGAAATGGAAAAACATGTCTACTTCGATGTGATGTCTACTTCGAAGTGTGTGTGTGTGTGTGTGTGTGTGTGTGTGATGGCCGGTTTTTGTAAAATTTTATTTAATTTCTCATTATCGTTAAATTTTATCTATTTGTCATTTAGTCTGTGTTTAATGATTAATTTTTATTTTATGTCTGTCTGTTTCTTTAGATGTTTTTGTTGATTTGTCTGTCTGTTTCTTTGAATGTGCTTGTTGATTCATCATTAAAGAACAGCTGTTAATTGAAAAATATTTCGAAGTATTATTAACTGTGTATATATATATATATATATATATATATTCAATATTCAATTCAATATATTTATTTGATTCAAGCAAAACAGAAAAAATTTGAGAGATCGGGGACCCGGAAGAAGAAAATAAATTCTTGTAGTGGACCACCATGGACAAGATTGTCATGATCATTTTAAGGATAACGTAAAATAAAAATGAATAAATTATCCAGGATATACTGACATTAAATAAAATAAAGGTTTTATTACTCGCAAATGAATGATAACTTAATTAAATGGTTAATAAACTTAATTGTCAAATATATATATATATATATATATATATATATATATATATATATATATATATATATAAATATTTACATTTACTATTTATAAAGCTGTGTTGATTTGTTGGTTAGTTGACGTTTTTTCTCTCGATTGATTAGTTCGTTGATTGATTTATTGATTGATTGATTAGTTCGTTGATTCATTGATTGATTAGTTCGTTGATTGATTAGTTCGTTGATTCATTAATTGATTGATTGATCGATTATTCGATTGACTTTTGACGCGATGGTTCAATTTTTAACTGTTACAATTCGAATCTTCTATTTTTAAAGTTTGAACTGTTAAATTTCTGTCCTCAAAATTTCATGTTTTCCCATATATATATATATATATATATATATATATATATATAAAATCTTCAATTTTTAACCTTACTTGCTCGGAAGGTTGGCTCGGCAGAATGGAATTCAGAAAACCTCCTGAAAAGCAGAGTTGTTGGTTATACCATGTGTAGAAAGATTCGATCATTCCAAGTTAATTCCCTACTATAGATGATTCAAAAAACGGATAATTTCCACTTTCGTTATACCTTAAAGTTGACCAGGGTCCATTTACGAAAATGGCGATTTTCCTGGTTCTAGCTCTCGTTCCATCAAAAAAACGACTAAGCCCAAAAAATGTAAAATGAGATCTAATAATGTACAGATCAGCATGAGTTGATTGAATAAATTCAGGAAATGATTTGAAGATGGAATTGTAAGCTGCTGATTGTACTGTGTATAGAAAATCAATTTATTGATATGTTTACTTTGCTAAATTATTGAAATTTAGATGAACTAGAGCAGTAGATTTGCGTCTAATTCGGTACTTGCCATAGCATTTCCCCATCGCGTTCTTCCCGTTATAAACATCTTGAACTGAAATAGCGATAGTGGTGTTGCACGTGCATTATATTGGCGGCGGGAAATAAATTATACTTAATTCTTAGAAACTTTATGGCATTTAAGAAATTGCGATCAACAACGAATAAAATTCCTGAAATCCTTATATAACTTGTTGAATAGCCCCACATTCCAACTCTTACGAAGTGTTAAAGATCGGGTTTTGCGGAGGTCGATGGTCTTCACTGTCCTGAAGGGATTAGGCACAAAAAAGAAGAAGGCATTAAATCAGGTAATTAACCAGAGACCATATATAAGAAAAAACCTCTGAGGAAGATCTAAGAGACTAATAACATTTGTACCTTAATGACATGAATGCTCAAATGTCAACTTTTGGATTGTGTAAATTTTACTTTATAATTGTCTGCTTTGCAAATATTGGTTTGCAAAGCCAATTTTAATTGAATCTAATTGACTAATTGGTTGATTGATTAATTGATTGATTGATTGAATGGTATATTCAATTCTTGCTAGTAGTTCTTTAGCATTTTATCTCATCTTTGGACTTATGTAAAAGTAGCAAGTAATAAAATTAAAGTAGAAAAAACATGGCTTCCATGGCGAGAGTGTTTCGTTCGTTTGCAAATTCTTCAAATTTGCAGGTTTTATTGAAGAATAACAACTCGTTTCTCTATCTACCGACGCTGGGCTATCATAAAAATGTAATTTTGTTTCAGATTTTCATGATTTTGCACGATTGTGATGGTTTTTTCAACTCTACTTTCTGCGTAGTAATGTGAAAGCCAAAAATTAAATAATTCATTTTTCTTAGAAAAAAAAAGTTTGCTAAATGGAGTGAGGCTTCTTAAACATTCTTGTTCTATTTTTCGCTATTATCGATTTTTCTTTACCTTCAAACTTTCAACATTTTCTTTCATAAGATGATATGATTGTTCATAAGTTAGTTAATTGATCAATTATGAATAAAATCCTCAATGTAGAATTTCAAATTAAACTTTTTCAGGTGATTGATCATTATGAAAACCCGAGAAACGTCGGCTCTTTCGACAAAAAAGAAAAGAATGTGGGCACTGGTCTTGTTGGTGCTCCAGCTTGCGGTGATGTCATGAAGTTACAAGTAAGTAAGACGGGAGTACAAAAATTATTAAGTTAACTAAATTAATTAAATGAATAAATCATAAAAAGTAAAAGTTTTTTATTTTAAATTAACATTATCCTTGCGAAAATTATTTCAGAAATTAATTATTAATTCCTAAGACCACACCATGTTATCTCAGATAAAGGTAGATGAGAATGGAAAGATAGTCGACGCAAAGTTCAAGACGTTCGGTTGTGGTTCTGCCATTGCCTCAAGTTCATTGGCCACCGAATGGATCAAAGGAAAAACTGTGGGGGCATTATTATTATTATATTATTATTATTATTTTTTATTATTTATCTATTGCTATTAATATCTTCTTGTTTTTTCTGCTGCTAATACCTCTGAATGATGGTAGGTGTGAATGAATAGATGAATGTATATAACTGATTGAATGAATGTATATGGCTGATTGAATATATGTATAAATGCATGAATGATTGAATATATGAATGAACTGATTGATTAAGTGAATAAAAGTTTAAAAGTTGACTGGACTTGAGGGTGGTGATGATGATAATGATGAAATGGTGAATGACCTTTTAACTTTTATCTGGTTAATGATGAAAGTTCTCTTTTAAAAAATTTTAAAGTTGAATGAAGCGGGCAAGATCACAAATGCGGAGATCGCAAAGGAACTCTGCTTGCCCCCTGTCAAACTTCACTGTTCAAGTCTGTGTCGTTGATAAAATTTGTGAAAAAAATTCACTTTTTGTATGTGTGTGTTTGTTTTCATGTGTGTGTTTGTGTGTAGAATTTTAAATGTATTTGGTGGTGTGTGTGTGTGTGCATGGATATGTGTGTGTGTGTGTGTGTTTCATTTATTTAATTTTATTTTTAGAAAACTAAAGAATATGTTTGTATGTAACTTTATGTCTATACATTCATTCACTCAATAAATCTCACATTAACCTGATCATTTATCCATTCATTCATTCAAGATTTTTTAGTTTCAATAAATAAACAAGAATGAAATAAAATAAGCATAAATACATTTTGATTATAAATATAAAATGAATAATAAAAATTTACTTTTAATATTTAAATTAATTGAGATTCATTCATTCATTCATCTATTCATTCATCTAATCACTCACTCTCTCACTCACTCATTCATTCATTCATTCCACTAACCCACCCATCATCAGTGTTGGCCCAGGATGCTATAAAAGCAGCCCTTAGTGATTACAACAAAAAGAATAAAACACCATCTGAAGATAGCATCAACAACAACAACATCAACAACAACAACGACAACAAAACTGATACCAAAATGTCGAACTAGTAAAGAAACACAGTACTGCCCGTAACCTGCACTTTACTACTTATCGGGTGCAGAGTTTTTAAATACTTAATGGGGTTAAGTATTTGTAGTAACTAAAAATCCCATTGCGAAGGTGATGTTGTTTGTTTGTTTGTATGTTTGTCTGTTTGTTTGTCTGTTTGTTTGTCTGTTTGTGC